CACCAGCCACCGCGACCAGCCCATGATTTTTTTTTTTTAACAACCGCTACCATGATTTAGGCACTTTGAGAACAAAAATACATGCAATACATGGGTTGGCATGGGTGGCTCACAGCACCCGCCCCGAATCCCCACGCACCTTGCGACGGAGCTGAGGCGGGCAGATCGCTCCCTGACGCCCCCAAGGAGCCTTCAAGACACCCCTCGGCTAACATGGGGGTTAGCAGGAGAATCACTTGAACTGGGGAGGCGCCAGTGAACTCAAGATCCACACCAGTGCACTCCAGCCAATCTCAAAAAACAAAAAAAAAAAAAAAAAAAAGCAATACAAAGAACTCTGGAATCGGAATGACAAGGATTCAAGTTCTACCTCAGTTGTATGACCTTGGGCAAATTTCTGAATCCTGAACAGCTCACGAATGCTAGGTGCCAGGTACCTGAACTGTGCTAGGTGGTTTTTATGCATTATTTAATCCTCACAACCCTCCTGTAACCTTAGGTATTAATCCCATCCCATAGATAAGGAAATTGAGGAGTATTGAAGCAACTTGCTCATGATCAGGCAGACATGAAATGTCAAAGCTGGAATTTGAATTGGTTCGGTCTGTTAAATTGATGTTCCCCAGATTCTCATTTGAGGTTCCATTTCCACATCTATAGAAAGGGAACAGACCCTTTCCTCACAAGGTTGTTGTGAAGATTGGGAGATTAAATTTGAAAACATTTAGCAACAGTCACACTCAATGCATGCCACGTAGGCTGGGCCCAGTGGCTCATGCCTGTAATCCCAGCAGTTTGGGAGGCTGAGGCAGGTGGATCACTTAAGTTCAGGAGTTCGAGACCAGCCTCGTCAACTTGGTGAAACCCTGTCTCTACTAAAAATAACAAAATTAGCTGGGCTTGGTGGTATGTACCTGTAATCCCAGCTACTAGGAAGGCTGAGGTGGGAGAAGTGCTAGAACCCGGGAGACGGAGGTTGCAGTGAGCCGAGATTGTGCCACTGCACTCCAGCCTGGGTGACAGACCAAGACTCCATCTCAAACAAACACCCAATGCATGCCAACTGGAAAAGAAATGGAAAACTTTTATCCCCATTTCTATGGCCGAGGAAACTTGAGGCACAGTGAAATTAATCAATCTCCCCAGCGATCTAGTGAGTGGCTCAATCAGAACCAGAATCCAAGTTTTGTACTCCAAGTGTGATTCACTTTCTCCCACACCCTCTCAAATGACTCTAGAGGAAGTCTAAGTGTATAGGAATCCTGCAAAAATGAACACGTATCTCAAGGGAAAGCGGAACACAAAGTCCAGCAGGGGAGGCTGCCTGGAAGAGACCGAGTTTTCTGACAGCAGTATTTAGAGGAAGTAGGAAGCCCGCAGGAGTGGTCTCAGCTCTTATATGATGTGGTTTTCCTGATAAGCTAACTAGTTCCTGATGCCCAGAGAAGAAGCTTGGCCAAGGTCACACAGCCATAAACGGCACTGACACAGCTTGGGGGCTGCATCTAACTCTTTGTTCCTGGCGTTTGTTCCTGGTGCTTGAGGGGGAAGGATAAGAAGCAGGCAATCATAATGCGGTGGGGTTGGGGACATGAGGGGGTCCTTCCAGATTCAAACAGCCTCTGTCACAGGGGAAGTCCAGTGGTGGACAGAACAGCAGATAAAATGTCAAGGCCTCAGGGTCAAGCAGAGCAGGGGGCAGTTCTGGCTCCCCCACTGATTAGCTATGTGGCCTCAACAATGTCACTTCACCTGTATCGATTCTCTTGCAGGATTGCTGCAGATTCAGAGGAATGGTCTTCAAGTACCCAGCCCATGGCCAGGCTTAGCAAAGTACCATGGTAATTATTACTCCATGATGCCAGGGCAGCCACAGAAGGGTGACAGGACTGGATGTCCAAGGGACAAGTAGACTTTCAGTGCCAACAGTCCCAACCTACAGTCACTGGGCACAAGTTCTTGGCAGGGCAGGGGCTATCAGGTCAGGCCCATGATGCAATCGCAGCTCTCTGCCTATGCTACAAGGTGAACCCTGACCTTCAGGAAATTGCAAAAACAGTCCATAAAGAAGGAGTATGAAACAAAACCTCAGCGAACGTTTATTTCTCATCATATGGAACTGGTAGCAAAGCCAAAGATTTCTGCACTTGAACACTGGATACCACTCCCCACCCAGCCAGTGCACATTTACAGAGTCATCACATCCCCTCTAGAACCCAAAGCCCCATGCCGGGGCCTCTTCTCTCCTGCACACCTTCTTGCAGGGAGAACTTTCAGGCCTGAGGGGGGTGCCAGTTGCTTCTCCGCGCCTGCACGGGTATGAAATGTGGCACGCTGGCCAGGCTCCTCTCCTGCCTTGCACAGCAGCAGCATGGCCCTTGCCTTTCTTCATTGCCCTCCAAACTGGTCAGAGAGGAGGCACAGATTGCTAGAAGGGCAAGAAAAGTTGTAATTCACAGTCGTTTGCTACAGAAAGTGACTGGGATCAGTCCTTGGCTGCTTCTGCCTCCAAGCAATCCACTTAAGCCCCAGGAGAGGGGACAGATGAGATACTGGTATGGGGGTGGGAGTCCTCAGAAGGCACCCAGGAGACACTGGCTACAGAAGTGGGGTCTCTGGAGGCCTTCAAGATCTTGCAAGAAAATCCACTTGCTGTTGGCAGGTTAGCCTGAGAATCCCAGGGGCAGCTTCAGACATTGTGGGGACTCAGACCCACCCTCTCAGTCTGCAGCTATGGCAGTCAAAGGTTTGGCAATGTAGCCATGGTCACCTGGCCATGGCCCAGGGGCAGGGTCCAAACAAGAACCCTGGTGCCTCCTGCCCCTCCTACTGAGTCATGGTGCCACCTAAGCCAACTAGAAAGGCTCAACTTTTTGGCAAACATCTGCAGCAGAGCCACTGGAGGCAGGCGAGTGAGGTGCTGGCCTCTGTGAGGCAGGTGCAGCTCTGGGAGAACAGAATTCTCCCTCTCCTCCTCCTCTCACATGCTGACTGTGGCTCTAGGTTGGAACCTCAAGCATAAAGAACCAAAGTAAAGAGGATTTATAATCTAATACTCTCTCCTCTTCAGAAGGCAATGGGACCAGCAAAGGCTCAAACTCTCTCAAGATAATCTGCTTTTTTTTTTTATGTACTTGGCCTCTCTCCTGAGGCCTCACACCATCAAGCATGGAGAAAAGGAAAAAAGGGCAAAGGAAGTCAAAAAACTGAACTAGGATTTGGGCAACAGCCTCAGCCTGCCCAACAGAACAGGCTTTTAGGGAACTAGACACACAGACCCGCTGTGACCCTGACTTTCACATTGATGGGTGAGTGGCAAGTGGGAGGTAATGAAATCTGGGAATGACAGGGGAGAGAAGGCAAACCTGCCTGGAGTGTCAGTCCCGGAGGCATTTGCCCTCTCCCTTGGGGGCCAGCCAGGGACTTCCCAGTTAAGGAAGGCCACCACACATGTGGCATGTATGTCCGAGCTTGGCCCGTCTTCTTTCCTGTGCCCTCTGCCTCTGGGGGCAGGAGAAGGAGGAAGGGTGTGGTCCCTTGGGATCTCCTAGTGCTCTTCCAGCTCCCAGGAACAGGGCTGAGATCCCAGAGTCAGTGCAATGAATGGTCCATTCCAATGAGGAAAAGGGAGGGTGTGGCTTGGGGACTGCACATCACACACAAGCCCACTCCAGCGTGGGGAGGGTGGGCATGGGACACAAAAGGGTCTGGGGCTGTCTCCAGACAGAGAAGTCCTTGTGGGGAGCTGGTCCGGGCCCAGGCCCTGCTCGAGAGTCAGGTCATGTAGCGGGTGATGGCACGGAGGGCGTACAGCAGAGCGGCTTGCATGCGCGCCTCCAGGAGCAGCAAGTTCACGTGGACCTGGGGCACAGAGGAGGGCACGTTGGCAACTGATGTCACTCCTCACCCCCCTACACCCCTCCCAGACTGCCTCGATCCCTGACCTACTTACCTCACCATTTCCTTTCCTACAGAGCTGCCCTGGCCTCTGCTAAGGCTCTGAGCAGTTTAGTACAAGGACAAGCACATTCATTCCTATCATGACTAAGCTCTGTATTCCTTAAAGCTAAAACAACCGGGTGCAGTGGCTCATTCCTGTAATTTCAGCACTTTAGGAGGCCGAGGCGGGTGGATCTCGAGGTCAGGAGTTTGAGACCAGCCTGGCCAACACAGTGAAACCCCATCTCTACTAAAAATACAAAAAATTAGCCGGGGGTGGTGGCGCGCACCTGTAGTTCCAGCTATTCAGGAGGCTGAGGCAGGAGAATCGCTTTAACCCAGGAGGCGGAGGTTGCAGTGAGCCAAGATTGTGCCACTGCACTCCAGCCTGGGCAACAGAGGGAGACTCCACCTCAAAAAAACAAACAAACAAAACAAAACAAAAAAACCTCAGCGAGATAATGTGACTTGCCGAAAGTCACATTGCTATCAAGAGATAGTGTTATGATTTGAACCCAGGTCCACCAAGTTACCACTAATGTGAAGCAGGCACCCACGTTCCCATTTTACAGATGAGTAAACAGACTCTGAAATCATACAGTGGAATAGGACTTCAATCCAGAACAACGGGCCCAGGTGTCCCACCTAGCAGGACAGACTCAGTCTGGGGACCCTCACTGGGTCCTAACCCCTTGCCCTCTCCATTGGCTGGGCTTGTCTACTTCCATCCTGCCCTGCCGGTATAGGTCATACCTTCTCTGAGTGGCGGAAGTGCCTCCAGAAGAGGTTGTACATTCTTCGGGTAGTCTTCTCTGGGTAGCAGGCCACTGTCTTGATATAGACCTTGAGGTTCCGCTCCAGGAGCTGGTTCACCTCCCCATAATCATAGTCATCATATCTGGATGGAAAGGTCCCAGCAGCATTACTCATGCTCTCCTCCAAGAGGCAGCTCCCTCCCCCCCCAGTCCCACCGTATAGAGGGAAGAAGAGAGCGTTGAGAAAAGTCAGAAGGTAGGCCGGGCGCGGTGGCTCACGCCTGGAATCCCAGCACTTTGGGAGGCTGAGGCGGGCAAATCACCTGAGGTGAGAAGTTCAAGACCAGCCTGGCCAACATGGAGAAACCCCATCTCTACTAAAAATACAAAATTAGCTGGGTGTGGTGGCCCATGCCTGTAATCCCAGCTACTCTGGAAGGCTGAGGCAGGAGAATTGCTTGAACCCAGGAGGCGGAGGTTGTGGTGAGCCGAGATCACACCATTGTACTCCAGCCTGGGCAACAAAAGCGAAACTCCATCTCAAAAAAAAAACAAAGAAAAGAAAAGTCAGGAGAAACAGCTGATATCATGTATCACAGGCCTCATTGGCAGGGGACCACTTCAAGGAATACAGAGAATGAGCATGCTGTATTGAATACCAACTATGCGCCACGTGGAATCCTCAAAACTACTCTACACCATTGTGTATATGACTGGATGGTGTACGCAATCTACTACATTCATCAACTCCACGTTATAGATGAGGAAACAGAATGAGAGAAAGGAAGTCACTTGCCCTAGTTAATACAGCAAGGAATGGTGTTTGTTTTGAGATGGAGTCTCACACTGTCGCACAGGCTGGAGTGCAACGGCATGATCTCAGTTCACCGCAACCTCAGCCTCCTGGGTTCAAGCAATTCTCCTGCCTCAGCCTCCCAAGTAGCTGGGATTACAGGCGTGAGCCGCCACGCCTGGCTGGGAATGGGTTTTTAACCCAGCTCTGCCTAGCTCAGGGGTCATATCCACTACTCTATAGTAAAGGCCATGGAAGGTAGAGGAGGAAAGTCAGTGGAGAAGGAAGAGGATAAGGGTAAAAAGGAGCTTGTACTCACACTACAAATGGGCAACCTAAGCCCTGGAGAAGATGACTAACTTCTTCAAAGCCAAAAAGCAAGTTGGTGATGAGTCTAGAAGCCACTTAGTCATCCCCAGTCTAGTGAGCAAGGGGAGCCAATGTCAAAACAGATCAGTGTAAATGGAGGAATGACTGGCTGAAAACTGGAAGCCAGATTCGGAAAACAAAGAAATAGGAGCAAGGACCATGTCGGAGAGCGGAGAAGCCTGGACCTGAGGGCTGAGCGGAAACCAGCCTAAGCCACATTCTAAGCAGCCTGTCCTTGGCCAGCCATGAGGTGGAAACCTACTAGTGACTAGAGTAAGAGGATGGTTCATTAAGTATAGCTCAACCCATTCAGTGAAATATGATTTACAGCTAGTAATACACAGAAACACAAACTTTCTATAAGGAACACGTACCTTTTTTAAAACTGGGGGTAATTTTTTGGTGTTTGGTATAAACTGTTAAGTGAGAAAGGCAGGAAAAAAAATTCACGTGTTCACTAAAACATGCTCATGTTTGAGTAAATGAATAAAATAATTGAAATGAGTAGGGAAAGAAATGGCAACTTATTTTGTTTTTGTAAATTATATATGCTTTTGTTACTTGTACATAGAAAAAGAAAGGTGCCAGGTGTGGTGGCTCATGCCTATAATCCCAGCACCCTGGGAGGCCAAGGCAGGCAGATCACTTGAGCTCAGGAGTTTGAGACCAGCCTGAACAACATAGTGAAACACCATCTCTACTAAAAATGCAAAAATTAGCTGGGCATGGTGGCACCCACCTGTAGTTCCAGTTACTAAGGAGATGAGGCAGAAGAACCACCTGAGCCCAGGAGTTGGAGGGTGCAGTGGGCTGAGATCACTCCACTACACTCCAGCCTGGGCGACAGAGTAAGACTCTTGTCTTTAAAAAAAAAAAAAAAAAAAAAAAAAAAAAAATTGCCGAACACGGTGGCTCACGCCTGTAATCCCCAGCTCTTTGGGAGGCCGAGGTGGGCAGATCACGAGGTCAGGAGATCAAGACCATCCTGGCTAACAGGGTGAAACCCCGTCTCTACTAAAAATACAAAAAATTAGCCGGGCATGGTGGCGGGCACCTGTAATCCCTCCCAGCTACTCAGGAGGCTGAGGCAGGGAGAATTGCTTGAACCTGGGGGGCAGAGGTTGCAGTGAGCAGCGACTGCACCACTGCACTCCAACCTGGGCAACAGAGTGACTCCGACTCAAAAATCAATCAATTAATTAATTAATTTAAAAAAAAAAAAAAAAAAGCTGGGCATGGGTGGCTCATGCCTGTAACCCCAGCACTTTGGGATGCTGAGGCGGGCAGATCACCTGAAATGAGAAGTTCGAGACCAGCCTGGCCAACATGGAGAAACCCCATCTTTACTAAAAATACAAAATTAGCCGGGCATGGTGGCACATGCCTGTAATCCCAGCTACTCAGGAGGCTGAGGCGGGAGAATCACTTGAATCCGGGAGGCAGAGGTTGCAGTGAGCCAAGATCACGCCATTGCACTCCAGCCTGGGCAACAAGAGTGAAACACCATCTCAAAAAAGAAAAGAAAAGATAAGGAGGAGATAACTGATAACAATAAGAACAGATAGTATAATGGATAATTTTTATTTTATTTTTTGCTGTGTTGCCCAGGCTGGAGTGCAGTGGTGCAATCATGGCTCACTATAGCCTTGAGCTCTTGGACACAAGTGATCCTCCTGTCTCAGCCTCTAGAATACCTAAGACTATAGGCATGTACCACCACACTCAGCTAATTTTTATTTTTTTTGTAGAGATAGGTCTTAATTATGTTGCCCAGGCTGAGGCACAAACTCCTGGCCTCATGTAATCCTCCTGCTTCAGCCTCCCAAAATGCTGGGATTGCAGGTGTGAGCCACTGCACCCAGCCTTTATTTTCTTTTTTGTTATCTGTGTTTTTCAATTTTATTTATTTTGAGATAGTGTCTTGCTCTGTTGCCCAGGCTGGAGCACAGTGGCATGATCTCAGCTCACTGCAACCTCTGCCTCCCGGGCTCAAGGGATCATCCTGCCTCAGCTTCCCAAGTAGCTGGACCTACAGGAGTCAATAATAAATTAGTCAATTTTTGTTATTTTTTGTAGAGATGGGGTTTCACCACGTAGTTCAGGTTGGTCTCGAACTCCTGGACTCCAGTGATCCACCCGCATCAGTCTCCCAAAGTGCTGGGGTTATAGGTGTAGGTCACCACTCCCAGCTGAGAGTTTTTATTTTAAATAAAAAATTAATTGTTCAAGCCACCACTCCCAGCTGTTTTATTTTAAATAAACAATTAATTGTTCTACGTATATGCTTGACAAGTAATTTCACATCTAGGATTTATCTACAAGGACTTATGCATAGATGCGTACATGGTGTTTGTAATAGTGAAAATCTGCAAACAACCTAAATATCCAATAATAGGGAAATGACTGAATGATCACAATACATCCATGCTCACAGATACCATGCAGTGGTTAAAAGCATAAAACAGGCTGAGTACAGTGGTTCATGCTTGCAATCCCAGCACTTTGGGAAGCCGAGGCAGGAGAATTGCTTGAGCCCAGGACTTCAAGACCAGCCTGGGCAATAGAGCAAGACCCTGTCTCTTTAAAAAAAAAAAATAATAATAATAATAATAAAATATCTATTCGTGCTGATAAGGTAGTTCACAGATAGAGAAAATTACAGGACATGTCAAATCTGATCCCATCACCTTACAAAAATCAGAAAAGACTTAACAAGCAAAAAGATGAAAATGTAATTCATCATATAATAGTATGCAGAGATATCACTACTAAACAGTATTTTAGTGTATAGCCTTCCATACATTTTCCATGCATGCACAAACTGTTTAATATAAAAAAGAACATAAAGAAGATTTCTGTTGGTAATTAGCTTTCTTTTCTCTCAATACAGTCTGAATATTTTCCCACGGAAATACAAATAGACATCTTTTTTTTTTTTTTTTTGAGACAGGGTCTTGCTCTGTCGTCCAGACTGAAGTACAGTGGTATAATGATGGCTCATTGAAGCTTTGACCTCCTGAGCTCAAGAGATCCTCCCACCTCAGCCTTCCAAGTAGCTGAGACTATAGGTGCATGCCACCACACAGGCAAATGTTTTAATTTTTTGTAGAGATGGAGGTTGCATTATGTTGCCCAGGCTAGTCTTGAACTCCTGTTTCTCAAGCAATCCTTTCACATTGCCCTCCCAAAGTGCGGGATTACAGGCATGAGCCACCATGCCTGGCCTCTATTGTAATTTTTTTTTTTTTTTGAGACAGAGTCTTGCTCTGTCACCCAGGCTGGAGGAGTGCAGTGGCGCAATCCTGGCTTACTTTAGCCTCTGCCTCCTGGGTTCAAGCGATTCTCCTGCCTCAGCCTCTTGAGTAGCTGGGATTACAAATGCGTACCACCACACCCAGCTAATTTTTGTATTTTTTAGTAGAATGGGGTTTCACCATGTTGGTCAGGCTGGTCTCGAACTCTTAATCTCATGATCTGCCTGCCTTGGCTTCCCAAAGTGCTGGGATTACAGGCGTGAGCCACTGCGCCCGGCCTACTGTAATTTGTAATAGCTGCATAATATTTCACTGAATAGATGTATCATTATTTAAAGTCCCCTACTGAGCATTTATGTTATCCTTATTTATTATGAGAGAAGAATTACTACTTGGAATGGAAATACAAACACAACTCTCTCTACATATATATATATAGTGTGTATGTGTATATGTATGTATATGTGTATATACGTGTGTGTGTGTATATATGTACATACATATCAAACAATAGTTATCTCTGGAAGTGCAATTAAAGAGTTTCATTTACAACGTTCAAACAATGAGTACTATCATCTTTCAAAATCACAATTTGATTTGAAAAATAGTATAGGCAAGAAGAAAGGAAAAGAAAAAAAAAAAAAACAAAAAGAAAATGGAAACAACCGTGAACCCGGAATGAAGACTCGCAGTGCACATGTGCCCCAGGTGAAGGGACATGGGCTCACCTGATACCAAAGACGCAGTGGATGTAGTTCCAGATGGCCCTGCGGAGCACGGAGGTGTCCACCCCGCTGTGCATGGCGATGGTATTGTAGGTGAGGCTATAGGCTGCCTGGAACTTCTCGTCCAGCAGCTGCCCACCCTCAGGGTAGAGCCGCTGGATCAGTGAGTAGCCATGGTCTTCCCAAGTATAATCCTTAGGTAGGTGGGAAGGGATTGGTGAGTCTTTGGAGCCCAAGACCAGCCAGAGAGACCCCCTTCCTCTGGACCTTGGATCTCCATAGTTCTCCTTCCTGGTGTCATAAACCTAATGTGCTGCTTGCTCTGGGCCTCAGAAGGTACACTTTGGTGATGACCTTCTCCTTACGATCACCAACCCCTGTGCTTAGGGTATAGATGGGTTCCTTAAGGATTCACAGGGACCCCACTGCCCTCGTGGAATCTTGAGGGAAATAACGTACCCAACTCTATTTTTTTTTTTTTTTTGAGACAGGGTCTTGCTGTCACCCAGGCTGGAGCGCAGTAGTGCAATCACAGCTCACTGCGTCCTTGACCTCCTAGCTCAAATGATCCTCCCACCTCAGCCATTCAAGTAGCTGGGACTACAGGCATGCACCACCTTCCAGCTAATTTTTTAAATGTCTTTGTAGAGACGGGGTTTCGCCATGTTGCCCAGGCTAGTCTCAAGCTCCTGGGCTCAAGCAATCCTCCCACCCTGGCTTCCCAAAGTGCTGGGATTACAGGTGTGAGCTACCATGCCCAGCTGGGTACCTAACTCTATAACTACTCAAACTATCCACCCACTGCATGTTCGTAAATGTGGAGCAATGGCCAAGAGTAGTAGAGAGAGCCCCACCTGGGCCCGGAAGGTGGGGGGCGCCTGAGCCCCTCTCCGGGTGAAGTCCTCATATCCAAAAGTAGGATCTTCCACAAAGCACAACATGTCTGGGTGTGGAGAGGGCTCCAGGATGTCAGCTGAGGACCAGAAAGAGGTCACAGTGAGGCTGGGGCATGGGGCATGCAGGTGTCCACTCCTGATTAATCACCAAACGGGGGAGGGGAAGGCAGAATAGAGGGCCAAAAAAGCCCCTTGCTATAGTGAGTGGGCAAGACCTCAGCTGGAGCCCAGCCTTGTGGAGGGGGTGGATCAGGCCCATGGACCCGTGAAGTGAGGCCCCTGGTAACAATAACTTAAGTGGAAGTTATTTATGGATTGGTTCCCCCTGGGCCAGGCTCTGTGCTAAGATCTTTGCTTCTACTGCCCCACTAACCCCACATAGCAATCCTGAAGTCCTGAGATAGGAAGTGACTTGTCAGTGGTCGCACAGCCAGAAAGGCTAGCAGTTCAGGATTCAAAGCCAGGAGTGAGCTCAAGGCCCAGGCTCAGAACCTCTTGGACGGGAAGCTGAGAAGTGGCTGCCTCTAGAACACAGGAGGCAGCTCCTCCTGACCAGAGATAGCCTAAGAAGGAGCAGCCCCAGGAGCCTGGATGCCTGTGATCCTGTACCTGAGGGGGTCACCAGCAGGCTCTCCGACTTCTCTAGCTCAAAGCGGCTCTCCATCTCCTCCTGGGACGTCCCCTCGTCCCGCAGCAGGCTGTCCTGCAGCTGCCGCATGCGCTCCATCAGTGCCTCCACTTCGCGGGCAGACTCAAAGCCCTGCAGGAGAGGACCAGTGGTGACCAGCTACTCCTCCTCCTTCGGCCTCTGGGAAGCTCCACACATCCTTCCCACAGGCCAGGTCTTCCTAATGCTCACAAAGGCCTAGGGCATCCCCTGTGCCAGCCACTGTGCTGGACAGCGCATGGGTCTGTGCTTCCTAAAGTGACATTTATGAAGCTACAGAATAGACACAGCTTCCCTGAGAGGAAATTTTTAAAGTGTCTGTATTTTTGTATTAAAACAAACAAGGCCACATTATTCAGTGAAAGGTAAACTTTGTAGTTTGAAAGTGCTAAAACCAACAGCCTTTGAGCCTCACAGCCCAGTGTGAGTAGAGGGTCTTATCTCCCCATTTCACAGATGAGGAAACTGAGCTTCAAAGTCAAATAACTTTTCTATGGTCTCTCACAGCAGCAGGTAGTGCAGGCACCAAAGATTGGGAAGCAGTAGCTTCTACCTAAGGACCAGAGGTCATGCCTGCTTCCTCCCCGATCAAGACCCAGGCCCGTGACTTACCCCAGAGTTGTTCAACGGGTCCCTGCTCGGGGGACTGCTCTGCTCACTGGGGGGTGTAGGTGCCTGGGGGGCAGGGCTGCCATCTGCATCCCCCTCAGGGAGGATGCCACAGCCAAACACAAAGGACGAGAGCGAGTGGCAGTGGGTGAGCAGGACCAGAGCCTGAATGAGCTCGGCCAGGGACCAGGTGTGCTCGCCGGTCTTCAGCAAGGCCTGGAGGGGACAGAAGGGGAGGTTAGAGCTGCTCAGTGCCTGCCCTGGGCTACCCACCAGGCACCAGCCAGGCCTCTGTGCTCCCTCAGACACCCGTCTCTCTGCCCCCTGCACCTGGATGTGCTCCTTGGTGATGAGCCATGGCCGATGCGCCAGCAACTTGTTGATCTCGCTGAGCTTGCGCAGCTTCTTGGGCGCCCGGTGGAGGCCCAGCAGCCACTCAGGGTCACCACCGGTCTGCAGAAACTCGGCCATGTGGGAGCCTACCAGGTAAGAACACTGATGGCGGGCGGCAGCCTGCGGAGGTAGTGGACAGAGCCTGAGTCACTCTCCTCCCTTGGTGCCTGGCTCAGGGTGGGTACCCCATCAGGGGAGAGGTTGTAGGGCTCACTGTTGCCCAAGAGGCAGGAAACCTAAGTTCTAAGTAACCCCAGCTCTGCCACCAGCTTGCAGGCCACCTGATTCCTTTTTGCACCTCAGTTTGCAAGCACTAATGATGCCTTTCTTCAAAACCTAAAATTTTCCTTCCAAGAAAAAACCAAAAACTCTACAGTTATAGAAAGCCAGGGCTTTCCCTGCTCTATGCCGCCTTCCCTCCTTGTCTATGGAATCAGTTCACAAAGCTCCCAGAAAAGAGATCAAAGGACAGAACCCCCCACAAAGCCACCTCTCCAAGTGTCAGGCCCAGAGAGGCTCACCATGATGGCAATGTAGTGGCGCCAGGAGCTGGCCAAGGGACCATCCGTGTGCAGCAGCAGGTAGTGCAGGCGCCAGAAGCTGGTAAAGTAGTCAGGGTGCAGGCCCATCACCACTGCCAGGTTGTCCACTCGCCCAGAGGACATCAGTGCCTCCAGCCCCAGGTGCTGCTCGAGGCTCTCGGTCCCCTCCCGAAGGACCTGCCAAGCAAAGGGGAGGACAGCATGGGTTTCCCTCCTGCCCCACTCATCAAAGAGACCAGCGTATTCTTCCAGTGGGTTTCTAATGGCAAGAAAGTAAAAACCACCACCATGTCCAAAAAGAAACAATAGGGAGAATCAGATATTTTAATAAGTGACTCAATGAATACTTATTAGGTACCTTATATAATAATGGCCAGTACTTACACATACGATGCTATGTGCCAAGTACTGTTCAAGCATGCATATTTTAACTTATTTAACTCTCACAACAACAAAACTGGAGTTCTGTTTCTCCATTTTTAGGTAGGAAAACTCGGGTACAGAGAGTAAAAGTACGGTTTCTCCTCCCTTCATGGAGCATCTATTTTTTCTTTTCTTTTTTTTTTTTTTTTTGAGATAGAGTCTCACTTTGTCACCCAGGCTGGAGTGCAGTGGTGCGATCTTGGCTCACTGCAAGCTCTGCCTCCCAGGTTCACACCATTCTCCTGCCTCAGCCTCCCCAGCAGCTGGGACTACAGGCACACATCGCCACACCTGGCTAATTTTTTGTATTTTTAGTAGTGACGGGGTTTCACCGTGTTAGCCAAGATGGTCTCGATCTCTTGATCTTGTAATCCACCTGCCTCAGCTTCCCAAAGTGCTGGGATTACAGGTGTGAGCCACCGCGCCCAGCAGGAGCATCTATTCTAACACCGCAAATGCATATAACCATGGGGGCGGGTGCAAAATAGTTCACATTTCCTGAGTGCTGTCTCCATGCCATCTCCGAGCTTACGGTTTTCTCTGCATGATTTCATGGCATCTTGCCAATAAGCCTGTGAGGTGAATACTATTATTTCCCCCACTTTGCCAGATGAGGAAACCAGGACGTTTTGTTCCTTGCTCAAAGTCACAGATCTTACAAATGACAGAATCAGATTCAAATTCAGATGAACTCCAAAGCCTATTTCATTCTTCTTTTTTAAATAGAAACAGAGTCCCACTATGTTGTCCAGGCTGGTCTCGAACTCCTGGGCTCAAGTGATCCCTCTACCTTGGCGTCCCAAAGTGCTGGGATTACAGGTGTGAGCTACTGCACCTGGCTGCCTGTTTCTTTTCTTTATTATAAAAGAGTGGACTGGGCACGGTGGCTCACACCTGTAATCCCAGGACATTGGGAGGCAGAGATGGGCAGATCGCCCAAGGTCCAGGGTTCGAGACCAGCCTGATTAACATGGAGAAACCCCATCTCTACTAAAAATACAAAATTAGCTGGGCGTGGTGGCGCATGCCTGTAATCTCAGCTGCTCAGAAGGCTGAGGCAGGAGAACTGCTTGAACCTGGGAGGCAGAGGTTGCGGTGAGCCGAGATTGCGCCATTGCACTCCAGCCTGGGCAACAAGAACGAAACTTCGTCTCAAAAAAAACAAAAAAAAAAAGAGTGGTCATTTATAAATGAAAAAATAAAACACAAGAGCAATACCTGGGCTTAGAATTATGGGCCACAGACATAAATAATCAGCAAGTGGTTGTTCGCCTTACATTTACCAAGGAGTGGAGGAACAGGGGGTTTAGAGGGAGGTTAAACGTTTGTTACCTCATTAATTACTTGCCCTACACATTTAGGAAAAGCAAAGAGGAGAGGAAACAAAATTTTTCTTTTTTGAGACTGAGTCTCACTGTTGCCCAAGCTGAAGTGCAGTGGTACAATCTCGGCTCACTGCAAGCTCCGCCTCCTGGGTTCACGCCATTCTCCTGCCTCAACCTCCCAAGTAGCTGGGATTACAGGTGCCCGCCACCACGCCCGGCTAATTTTTTGTATTTTTGGTAGAGATGAGGTTTCACTGTGTTAGCCAGGATGGTCTCGATCTCCTGACCTTGTGATCCACCCGCCTCGGCCTCCCAAAATGCTGGGATTACAGGCGTGAGCCACCGCGCCCAGTGAAACAAAAAATTTGTCCTTGTTCACTGAAGGCCAAAGAAAATGAGGAAACTAGTTTTACCTTTTTCTGCATGTTTTGAAGGTACCTCCACTATCCCAACACACTAGAATATAAGCTCCATAATGGCAAAGATTTTTGTCTTGTTCACTGCTGTATCCCAAGCAACCAGAACAGTGCCTCACACAGATTAATCATTCAATAGATATATTAAGTAAATGAATGAATGAACTGACTCAGTAGATGAAGGATGTCTTTCTTGTATTAAGTGAAAAACAAAACAAAAAAACAAGTTGTAAACTATGACCTTGGTTCTGTACTGAAAGTAAGTATTGGCTTGAACAAAGCACAGTAAACAGTGGCAAATGGTTAACAGTGATGATCTCTGCAGGGTGTAGGAAGATACAGGAGATCAGAGCTTTCTGAAACAATGGAAATTTTAAAAATAATAAACATATATTACTTTTGAAACAGAAAAGAACATGTAATATATGTACAGTCACAGATGAGAAGATAAACATAGATAGTTCTATCTTCTTAAGGGAAACAGGCACTGATCTAGGAATCGAAAGTTTGGCCATGCAAAAAAAAAAAAAGTTTGGCCACTACCTGGCTATTAGCACTTGATTTCTTTCAGCCTGTTTCTTCCCAGTAAAATGAAGTTCATAGTGCCTGCTTCACAGAGCCGTTTTGTGAATTAAATGAATCAGAAATCAGAAAGGAATAGTTTAAAGCTGTAATTTAAGGAACAGGAAAAGACGCCTGCCCACCAATATGCCATGTCCTTTCTTCCCAGGGAAAAAAGATCCCTAATCCCTTCCAAGCTTACCTCCTCCACGGGGATGAAGGCGCTGGGCCCTCGAGGGCCTCGCCGAGCCCGACTCTCCCTCTGCTCCTGGGGGGAACACATGGAGGTCAGTCCGCAGTAGAAGGGAGAATAAAGAGGATTATTACCTACCCAGCTTCTTCCTCCTATCCAAGGGGCTCCACTGAACTGTTAAACCCACCTTTCTAGCATCCTTTGGATGGCGGAGCCAGGTGGGAGATAAATGCACGTTTGGAAGGGTAAGCAAGAAAGAGGGTTCACTCCAGGCTGAGTTCTTCAGGAACTGGGCTGGGACCCAGGAATCCCAGCATGTGGGATGGGAGGGTCCTGGAGAAGGAACTATATAGCCACCATGCTGCACATCTCCAGGAGGCCACCTTCTCAGTGGTCCCAGAGAACTTATACAAGAACACCCCACAGTTTGCACCCCGAAGCCAGGTAGCCAAGTACCCCAGATGCCTCAGAAGCAGCTTCAATTTCTCTCACATGTTCATTCATTTCTTTCTTTCCTTTGTTTTTGTGTTTTGTGTTTTGAGACGGAGTATCGCTTCTTGGTCCCAGGCTATGCAATGATCTCGGTCACTGGCAATCACTACCCCTGGGTTCAAGCGATTCTCCTGCCTTAGCCTCGCAAAGTAGCTGGGTTACAGGCATGCGCCACGCCCTCGCTAATTTTTGTATTTTATTTTTTATTATTTATTTATTTGTAATTTTTTTTTTTTTTTGGGCGAGTCTCGCTCTGTGTTGCCAGGCTGGACGGGCGGATCTCAGTCCCTGCAGTCGCTCCCAGGTTACGCACTCTCTCCTGCCTCAGCCCAAGTAGCTGGGCTACATTGGCTGGCGCCGACTACAAAAAAACGCCCGCCCCTCCGCCAGCTAGTGGTATTTTGAGTAGAAGGTTTCACTGTGCAGAATGGTCTTGATCTCTGACTTGTGATCCGCCCGTCTCGGTACCTCCAAAAACTGTGCTGGCTTCCTGTTGACCACGCAGGCCATGAATTTTTATTTTTAGTGTAGATACGTCCAATGTTGGCCAGGCTGGTCTCAAACCCCCGACCTCAGGTGATCCGCCCACCTCAGCCACCCAAAGTGCTGGGATTACAGGAATGAGCCACTGCAACTGGCCCCTTCTTTAGTGATGCAGTCATAGCTTACTATAGCCTCAAACTGCTGGGCTCAATGGATCCTCCTGCCTTGGCCTCCCAAAGCACTGGGATTACAGATGAGAGCCATCATGCCTGGCTGCTTATCTGTCCTCCCACCACCAACACCTCATCAACTAACACCCCCTCTTGTCTGGACCACTACTCACAGCCTCACCAGTTGTCCCCCGGCCTCCTCAGCCCTGGCCTTTCCTATCCATCCTCTACCCAGTAGCCACATTAACTTTCTGAATATAAATCTGATCAGCTGACTTAAAATCCTACCTCCCCTTCCCATGGGCTTCCAGATAAAATTACTGGCCCAGTCCTACTGGTCACTCCTTTTGCAAAGCTAAACCATGGCATCTAGGAACCCCTCACCTATAACCCCAAAATTCCCAGGGTTTTTGCTTCTAAAAACACTGTCATCAAATTGTCTGTTTTGTTTCCCTGCTACCAGATCACATTTAGTGGACAGCAGCGCCAGGCCATTCATACTAGCCTGTGAATGAAGACAGAGAAAGCCGAAAGGCATGGAGGGAATCCGAGCAGGGTGTACAAGGCTGATGGAAGCAACCATTTTGACCTGTATATGCTGGAGCCTCTTTAGAAACCACTAAAATCATGTACTCACTACATCTGCTTCTCCTAGTCCTAGAGATGGGGTTCAGGAAGGATGCTCTACTTATTCATTTATTTTGTTAATCTGAGAGTGGAAGCGGCTCTCAGCACTGGCCTTGGTTACAGTTTACCCAAATCAGAGCCATGCCCTCACTGGACAGGGATAGGAGGCGCCCAGTTCTCCCCTCCCCATTAAGATCTAGACTTAGTACCAGCCCTCACGTATCTGGGAACTAAAAACTAAAATTGAACCTTCCTTCTCAGATGGCCAAAAGCCCACTGAGGAGGCAGAGCTCTGGGACTCCAGAAGACTACAAAGTCTCTGGAGTAGGTACCAATTCTGCAACTAACTTGCTATGTGGCTCTGGGAAAGTTAAAGGCGTGAACTCTCTAGGCCTTAATCCTGGTAGGTAAAGTAGCCCAGCTACCTTCAAAAAGAGAGTTGAGCTGACTGTGCAGGCCCCTTTCAGCCCACACTTCTGGGAACTTCCCGGCCAGGCTGGTCCAAGTTCAGCGTAGTAACCACCACAATCCCTAAACACTCCCCTTTGGAGCTTCCCTCCCCCCTCACCAAAGAAAAAGCCCCACGGCTCTGTAAAGGAGATAAGGATTGCTGACTCCACAAACTGGGCCTCCACCTCAGGGGACCTGAGGACAGAACAGCAAGCCACAGCAGGGTAGGGTGGAGCAGAACTGGGGGAGGCAGAGAGGGCCCATCAGGGGTGCTAGGGAAGGACAGGAATAGCCTTGGGAATCCCAACTCACTCCAAAATCTGACCCAGGAATTGTCAAAAGAAGGAGCTCTAAGACATGGGTCTCGATCCATCATTTTCAGCAATAACAACAACAATATACAGTGCAGTTAAAAGATAGGGGCCCGGCTGGGCGCGGTGGCTCAAGCCTGTAATCCCAGCACTTTGGGAGGCCGAGACGGGCGGATCACGAGGTCAGGAGATTAAGACCATCCTGGCTAACACGGTGAAACCCCGTCTCTACTAAAAAATACATAAAACTAGCTGGGCGAGGTGGCGGGCGCCTGTAGTCCCAGCTACTCAGGAGGCTGAGGCAGGAGAATGGCGGAAACCCGGGAGGCGGAGCTTGCAGTGAGCTGAGATCCGGCCACTGCACTCCAGCCTGGGGACAAAGCGAGACACTGTCTCAAAAAATAGAGAACCGGCTGGGCGCGGTGGCTCAAGCCTGTAATCCCAGCACTTTGGGAGGCCGAGACGGGCGGATCACGAGGTCAGGAGATTAAGACCATCCTGGCTAACACGGTGAAACCCCGTCTCTACTAAAAAATACATAAAACTAGCTGGGCGAGGTGGCGGGCGCCTGTAGTCCCAGCTACTCGGGAGGCTGAGGCAGGAGGATCCCTTGAGGCCAGGAATTCGAGACCAGCCTGGGCAACACAGTGAGACCCCTGTCTCTACAAATAGTACATTAGCTGGGCATGGTGGCACACAACCTGTAGTCCCAGCTACTTAGGAGGCTGCTGAGGCAGGAGGATTGCCTGAGCCCAGGAGTTTGAGGTTACAGCAAGCTATGATCATACCATGGCATTCTAGCCTGAGCAACAGGCAAGACCCTGTCTCAAAAAAAAAAAAAAAGAAAAAAAAAGATGGGGCTCTTGACACAAATTGTATGAGCTCAAATGACAGCTCCGCCACCTGCTATCCCTTAGCTTTATGAGCCTCAGTTTCCTTACCAAATAATGGGGATAATAGTACCTACTTTCACTGGCTAGTGATGAGGATTTCATGAGATAACACTGTGTAGCTTACCTCAATACCTCCATCACAATAAGCACTTAATAAACGTTAGGTATCATTAACTTCCTTACTGTATCAAACAAGGGCTTCTCAACCCAAGCAGTACATTAGAATCCTTTGAGAAGCTTTACAAAAACAACAATGCCAAGGTCCCACCTCTCACAATTCTAATTCAGTTGTCTGGGGTGGGGCCTCAGCATAACAGCTAGGGTGAGGACCATTGTTGACACCATTTATGGATCACTTTCTCAAGTATAAGGCACTATGCTAAGTGCTTTCTAGGTGGAAACAGAATTAATTTGTTCACTCAACAAATATTTTTGATGGCTACATTGCAAGCAGCAATAAAAGGACAAAGCCCTCGGCCTTCATATAATTCAGAATCTGATATATAGGATTTCAAAGCACAGATTCTATAAAGTGAGTGAAATAATCCAGTAACTGTATGATGGGGAGGGAGGGTGTGCAATATTTTAGTGTAACTAGACAGGAAAAGTCATTGAGGAGGTGGTCTTTGAGCTGTTATTTAAATGATGAGAAGGCAGCAAGGCCTGTAAAGATTTAGGGGGCCTAGGGGGCGTGGCTCACACCTGTAACCCTGGTACTTTGGAAGGCTTGGTGGGCGAGGATCACCTGAGGCTAGGAATTTGAGACCAGCCTGGGCAACACAGTAAGACACCCTCTCTTAAAAAACAAACAGGCCGGGTGCAGTGGCTCACGCCTGTAATCCCAGCACTTTGAGAGGCGAGGCAGGTGGATCATCAGAGGTCGGGAGTTCAAGACCAGCCTGACCAACATGGAGAAACCCTGTCTCTACTAGAAATACAAAAAATTAGCCAGGCGTGGTGGTGCATGCCTGAATCCCAGCTACTCGGGGGGCTGAGGCAGAATTGCTTGAACCCAGGAGGCAGAGGTTGCAGTGAGCTGAGATCGCGCCATTGCACTCCAGCCTGGGCAACAAGAGTGAAACTCCGTCTCAAAACAAACACCCCAAAAACTAGGGGGACCAGCATTCCAGCCAGAGGAAACAGATAGTATAAAGCCCTAAAGGCAAGACCAAGTAGATTTGAATCCATGGCTCCCCGAACCCGACAGAGGAAGCAGGCAGGGCAGCATACCGCTGCCAAGGAATGACCCCTCCAAGTCAGCCCACCCTGCCCCAATTCCCTGGAGTGGGGAGTCAGTAATAATAGTGGTACGTAACAAGGCTGGTTACCACTGGCTAAGCTAATTCCACATGCACTACCTGTACTTTAGGGCAGACTGTAAAAAGAGGATAATGGCCCCAGATCTGTACCTGGTTCCTATTTTTTTCTTTTTTCTTGATACGGAGTCTCACTCTGTCACCCAGGCTGGAGTGCAGTGGCGCGATCTCAGCTCACTGCAGCCTCCGCCCCCCAAGTTCAGGCAATTCTGCCTCAGCCTCCTAAGTAGCTAGGATTATAGGGGTGCACTACCACGCCCAGCTAATTTTTGTATTTTTAGTAGAGACATGATCTGCCCACCTCGGCCTCCCAAAGTGCTGGGACTACAGGCGTGAGCCACCATGCCCAGCCTTTTTTTTTTTTTTTTTTAAATAGAGATGAGGTCTCACTGTGTTGCCCAGGCTGGTCTCAAACTCCTGGGCTCAAGTGATCTTCCCGCCTCAGCCTCCCAAAGTGCTGGGATTACAGGCATGAGCCACCATGCCTGGCATGGATCATAATTTAAGCACTTACTATATGTTAACTTTTAAATTAGCTCAGGTACTTGCGTGCAGGCTCCATCTAATTTTCATTTGTTTTTGGGTGGCGGCAGAGTCTCTACTTTGCACACAAGGAAAGATTAAGGGTTCAAAGGTTAGGCACCAGCTGACAAGTGGCCAATCTGAGATCTGAACCCAGGGCTGTCTGGCTTCTAAGGTCCATTCCACTTCACAATAACAGCTTTGGGAAATGGTCCCAGCCTTGCAGAGTTGAACCCAGCTCAGTCTGGCTTCCAAGGATTCGGTCCACTACTCATATCCTCTTCTTGGAGAAGCCCCAGACTTTACTCTTGGTTACCCTATATTATCCTTTATACAGCCTATACCTTGACTCAGCTACAGACACCTGGTTACCCACTCTGCCAGCTGGGAAGGAACAGACACTATTTCTCCTTTGCCTGCCCCCAGCTGAATTCAGATATTTCCTTGGGTTTACACCTGAGAAGACGATACAGAAATATAGCCCAAGCAGCCCTGGACCTCCAGCCTTGGAGTGGGCAGGGTGGAGGGGGTGTGAGTGAGTGGTGCCATACACTTGTCTGCCCATCATGAGCTGGGCACCACGCTAAGTGCTTTACACATCTGATTGTGCCAGTTCTTCCCAACCACCCAGGGAGAAATAGTTTCTTCTTTGGAGACAGGGCAGGGAGGCTCAGAAAGGTCCTCTTCCAAATGGGCACAATTCAGATCTGACTCCATGGCTAGAAGAGTTCACAAGAGTCAGCTAAGCCAACAAGGGGCAACTAGTCACGAACACTTACTAGGTGCAAAGAGCAGCGCTGGGGATGAGACCTGCAGGGTATCTCCAGCAAGGGACTGTTTCACATCATTGGGACCAAAACTCCTACATGGAGAAGGGGGACTGGAGGAGGGTCTGCAAGGGGACTTATCTAGTGGGGGAGGAAGGGCTTCCCTGAAGAAGAAATGATGTCTGAGAAAGTTTGTTTTGTTCTGTTTTGAGACAGAGTTTCACTCTGTCACACAGGCTGGAGTGCAGTGGAGCAATCTCAGCTCACTGCAACCTCTGCCTCCCAGGTTCAAGCAATTCTCCTACCTCAGCCTCCTGAGCAGCTGAGACTACAGGTGTGTGCCACCACATAGGGTTAATTTTTTGTATTTTTAGTAGAGACGGGATTTCACCGTGTTAGCTAGGATGGTCTCGATCTCCTGACCTCATGATCCACCTACCTCAGTCTCTCAAAGTGCTCAAATTACAGGTGTGAGCCACTGCACCCAGCCTGTTTTATTTTTTTTTGAAGACAGAGTCTTGCTCTGTCACCCAAGCTGGAGTGCAGTGGCATGATCACGGTTCACTGCAACCTCTGCCTCCCAGGCTCAAGCAATCGTCCCACCTCAGCCTTCCAAGTAGTTGGCACACACCACCATGCCTGGCTAACTTTTGCATATTTTGTAGAGACGGGGTTTCACCATGTTGTCCAGGCTGGTTTTGAACTCCTGGGCTCAAGCAATCCATCTGCCTCAGCCTCCCAAAGTGTTAGTATTACAGGCATGAGCCACCGCATCTGGCCAAGAAAGTTATTCTGGAGCCTAATACTACCAGTACTAGAGTGAAGTCCTTGGAACTTTCTGAAGATACACACATCTGAAGGCAATGAGCTCCTGAAAGGGAGTGTGTGGTGAAGTGACAGGGAGTTAAGGGAGCTGCACGCCTGGGTCGTCTCTTGGGCCTCGGACACCTGACTCAAAGATCGGCACCCTGCTGTCTTCTAAGGATGCCACTCAAAGCAGAAACCATCCCAAGGTCCTCTTTTCTCAAGAGAGAGGAATACACAGAAACCTCCCAGATATGCCAGGTGAGGTGGCTCATGCCGGTAATCTCAGCACTTTGGGAGGCCAAGGCAGGTGGATCACCTGAGGTCAGGAGTTCGAGATCAGCCTGGCCAACATGGTGAAACTCTGTTTCTACTAAAAATACAAAAATTAGCTGGGCGTGGTGGCACGTGCCTGTAATCCCAACTACTAGGGAGGCTGAGGCAGGAGAATTGCTTGAACCTGGGAGATGGAGCTTGCAGTGAGCTAAGATCATGCCACTGCACTCCAGCCTGGGCAACAGAGCAAGATTCCATCTCAAAAAAAAAAAAAAAGAAAAACCTCCCAGATAGCACCAGTTTTCTCCACTGAGGAAACATGGCTTCTGTGTAAAGATCCCTCCCTCAAAGCCTTTTCTCCCTAGACCAGTTCCCAGGCACTGTCCCAGAGAGGGGTGTACAGTGTCTGATCTCAGGAACAGGCCCGGGCACCCCCTTGTAAGACACTCTGGAGAAAGCTGTGCATGCCATGGCCACATTCTGATAATAGCAAGCAAGTTTCATGCAGTTACTATGTTCCAGTCACGGTGCTTCAGCCTTTGCTTGTATTCTGAGTTAATTCTCCCTACAATCCCTTGGAGACACTGTAAAATCCCCATGGGAAGAAACTACAGATCAGAGAAGTGATTACTGGCTAAGCCACACACAGCAAGTTAGCAGGAGGGCTGGGACACGAACCCAGGCCGCTTGCTCTCTACTGTCCAGGTGTTCTCAATAGTAACATCATTTCCATCTTTCCAAAGTCGTCACACCGCTGAGAAGCTGCAGAAGAGCCATTCCTCCACATGGCGCTCCTAAATCATGGCAGGGAAGGGTAAGTAAGCTAACAAAAACCAGGGCACAAACCATGTACTGACGGAGGTAGGATCCCCAGAAACCACGTTACTCAGAGAACAGCAGGGATTTTCCTGGGGTCACACAGCACTCCACCAAATCCCAGGTCCAGAATACAACCTCCACCACACTCTAGGCCTGTAAACTAAAGCAACTAGAAGCTCACAGTGCCATGCAATCTCCGAAATCATAAGGCCAAAGAACAAGCTATCCACTGGGGTTGGTGAAGAAAGCCTCTGAGCCCATCGTGGGCCTCAAAGCTCTTCCTGTAAAATGGGGCTATAGCGTAGCTTGTATTTTGCTGGTTTAGTCCTGAGGACTTAGATTAAAGGCGAAAAAAACTCAGAGCCTAGTATCGAGTAGGTGCATAATAAATTGTAAGATGTCCATTATCGCTGCTGCTGGTGGTGGAGGAGTGCGAATTGTCAGTCTGGTTAGGTCCAGCCTAACTCCCGGCCTCCCTGCAAAGCCCCTGCGGGCTATGCCCGGGTGCGAAGGCGGGGAGGCGGGGGGGGAACGGCGCGAAGGGAGGGCGGGGGAGGAATTTCTGGAAAACAAACTTCTGGGCCCTCAGACGACTTACTTAGCAGGGCGCAGCCTAACCCGCGCTTGGCTTCGGAAGCCGCGAAGGGGGTTGTCCCCTCTCTTCCGAGCTTTGGCTGCCGCCGCCGCGTACCGGGCGGTCAGCCAAGCCCCCAGAGCCCCTGCGCTCTCCCTCCAAAGCAGGAGTGCTGGGGACAGGGGATGAGGTCGACTTTCGCTGGCCAGTCCCAGGTGCCTACGCCCCGCACTGGGGGACAGGAGCCGAGACGCACCCCAGGAAGGGTCCTCTGCCCGCCGGCCCTCGCGAAGAGGAAGGGACTCCGCGGAAGGGGGCGGGGAGGAGGAGTGGTCGGGCCGCTCCGGCCGGGATTTGCCTGGACTTGAAGACGTTCAGGAGCCCAAAGCCCGGAGAGCCTCCAGAAGGCTTCTCCCTCATTGGCCAGGAGTCCGAGGGAGACGAGGAAGGATCCGCGGCCCCGGGGGGGAGGGGGGAGGGGGAGAGGGAAGGGGAGAGGGAGAGGGAGGGGGCGGGGTGGGGGTGTCGAGGGCCGCGGCTGCCAGTTGATGCAACCGGGGTCCCGGGTTACGCGCTCGGTTTTCCCTCCCCGAGCCCGGGACACACCGACTCAGCTCCGGACAGCCTGCGGCTCAGACGCGGCTCGGGGTTCCGGGGAAGAGGGGCGTCGCGCGGCCGCCGCTTACCTCTCCGGGGCTCGAGTCGCCGACGCCGCCCGGGGCGAACCGCAGGTAGTCCTTGAGCTCCGCGCGGCACTCAGAGTCCGCCACGATCATGGTGCGCACCAGGACCCGGTCGCGGCTCGCCGACGACCCGTGCACCCGAGCGGGTTTCGGACGGACGCCCGAAGGAAGCCGGGACTGGTCGCCGCCGGGGAGCTTCTAGAACCCCGGGGCGTCTCTCGGGGCTCCAGAATGCTCCGGAATCCGAGAACCGCCGCTGCGGTGCTGGACTCTTCCCCAAGCCGGGCTTTGGGAACGGCGAACGGCCTCGGGGGCCGGGGAAGGGCCGCAGCGCAGGGGTTTTCACGGCCTCGGAAGTCCGCAGGGGCCAAGGTTGCTCGCGGACCCAGCGCTCCTCAGCATCCCCGCCGCGGAACTGCCAGCGCTCGCCGGGCTCTGACACCAGCAGCTCAGCCCGCTGCGGTCCCCGGGGGAGGGCGGGGACACAAAAGCCCCGCGGTCCAGCCAATCAGAGGTCTGTTCCCTCGGGGAGGCGGGGGAAGCTCCGCCCCCTGGAGTCGGTGGCTCCGCCAATCAGCACCGGGAAGAGCCCGGAATTGTGGGAGTTGTAGTCCGCCTCGGGCGAATGTTGCAAACTTTTGCAAGACGGTTTAGTCAGATCGCTGACAGTACCAGACAGCAGTGACAGCCAGAAGAGTCATTAGGGTTGCGTGATGAAAAGGGACTTCACTGGGCTAGGCCAAACAGGCGAGTGTGAAATCTCCTAAATCAATTCTTCATCTTTTCAGTTCCTGGAGGGACTGGTTTGGGTTAGGAGAGGTTTGGCTCCCGTCCTATCCGGTGCTGCTAATTATAGAACTGAACCCCAGATGTTTAGAGGTCAGAGGGCACAACCCTGCTCCCCCTAGTCTCGGGGAGGCTCCAAAGATGCCAGACACAGGGGATTCACCGTATTTGTGGAGCCTCAGGAAAAGCCTTCATGCCTTGAAATGTCATTGGTAACTTTGTGTCGAACCTCAATCCCTATTGCTGAAAGTTTTCTTCCTTCTGCTACCAGTCCTGGCTTCCACCCCTGCTACCCTCCTCGAAACTTTGTAACAAGGTGTTCTGCTGGATCGTTGCTCACCTCTCCCTCTGGCCACTCCTTCTCTGACTCCTCTTTCGCTACCCACTCCCTAAAACGTGGGTGCTTCCCCAGTTTCTGTTTTTATCCCTCTTCCCTCCAGACACTCTCCCTGATCTCATCCACTTCCTGGCCTTCAACTCGTCTCTTGCCAGAAAGTTGCCTCTACCAATACCTCAGCACCTCCAAGCTAAATTCATTTTCTATTCATTTCAAACGGAGCCTCTTCTGTCACAGTTTTCCTTCGGACCTCCTTTTTTCTTGTTTCCATTTTAAAGTTATTGTTTATTCTAGACAGGGAATCCTGTCAGGGGTGAGGGTGGATAAGACCCCCAAGTCTCCCTCTGAGACTTCTAAGTCTAGCCTTACAATTCCAAAGACAAAACCAAGATCGGGCCATTGCACTCCAGCCTGGGCAACAGAGTGAGACTCCGTCTCCTGTCTCCAGCTTCTTGGGGAAAGGAGATTCATCTCACCTTCCCCTGAGCTCCCAAGGCACTTCAGCTGGATCTCTTTTAACATGTATCACATTCTACCTAGTTTTTTTTGTTTTTTTGTTTTTTGGGGTTTTTTTGGTAAATAGAGACATATGTCTCAATATGTTGCCCAGGCTGGTCTCAAACTCCTGAGCTCAAGCGATTCTCTCACCTCAGCCTCCTAGAGTGCTAGGATTATAGGCATGAGCTACCATGCCCGGCCACATTCTACCTTGTATTGTAATTTTCTATGTACATGTTTTATCTGACCCTTTTTTCTTTTTATTAGTATTGTTTTTTAGAGATGGGGTGTAGCTCTGTCACCCAAACTGGAGTACACTGGCATGATCTTAGAACACTGCAGCTTCGAATTCCTGGGCTCAAGCGATATTCCCTCCTGAGCCCCCCAAATCAGTCACTGGGGTTACAGGTGTGCGCTACTGAGTCTGGCTTATCTGATCTTTTTGATTATAAACTCCTTGAGGGCAGAGTGTACATCTTTTGTTTTTTTTTTTGAAACAGAGTCTCACTCTGTCGCCCAGGCTGGAGTGCAGTGGCCCAATCTTGGCTCACTGCAACCTCTGCCTCCTGGATTCAAGCAATTCTCCTGCCTCAGCCTCCCAAGTAGCTGGGATTACAGGCAAGTGCCACCATGCCCGGCTAATTTTTGTATTTTTAGTAGAGACGGGGTTTCAACATGTTGGTCAGGCTGCTCTCAAACTCCTGACCTCGTGATCTGCCCGCCTCGGCCTCCCAAAGTGCTGACATTACAGGTGTGAGCCCGCAGGGTCTACATCTTGACATCCATCTCCTGCCCTATGTCACCTAGCAAAATGTCCTGTCAATCATATGCCTTTGGTCACCGAATCTTCCTTTGCATTAACTTACCCTCTAAACTACCCTGTGTCAGCTTCAGTTTTCATTTAAAAAATTTACTATGTAATGTCAAAGTCCAGATCAATAGGCTTTACTGGTATTTCATCAGCTACAGAATTAAGATCAAACTCCTTGGGCGGGCATGGTGGCTCATGCCTGTAATCCTAGCACTTTGGGAGGCCAAGGCAGGCGGATCACCTGAGGTCAGGAGTTCAAGATCATCTGGGCCAACATGGTGAAACCCCATCTCTACTAAAAATACAAAAATTAGCTAAGCATGGTGGTGCACACCTGTAGTCCCAGCTACTCGAGAAGCTGGGGCAGGAGAATCGCTTGAACCTGGGAGGCAGAGGTTGCAGTGAGCTGAGATTGTGCTACTGCACTACAGCCTGGGTGTCAGAGCGAAACTCTGTCTCAAAAAACAAACAAACAAAAAGATCAAACTCCTGTCTTAACATTCAAGGTTTGCCAAGATGCGCCTTAATTTACCCTCCCATTCTTATCACCTGCAACATCCATGTTTCTTGTTTGGCCTTAAAGTCTTTCTTTCAGAACTCTTCCTTGCAAATCTCTACCCATTGAAATAGTAGCCATCATTCAATGCCTTTATTCCTGTTTGTGGCCTGAAGCAAGACTTTAAATGACACAGCCTCCAAAAAGCTCAGCTGAAAGTAATCTCACCCAGTCCTCAACACCTTCAACACATTCTTTTTATCTCTTTCTACCACTGATCTCCAAACTTGGTGTATGCTTGATATCATGTGTATATATCTCACCACTTCCCTCCAACTGATGATAAAATCTCTTATTGACCACGTGTGCAAACTGAGGAAACTTGAGCTCAGAAAGGTAAAATTGGCCAGGCATAGTGGCTAACATCTGTAATCCCAGCATTTGGGGAGGCCAAAAGGGAGGATTCCTTGAGCCCAAGAGTTCAAGACCAGCCTGGTCAACATGGAGATATCCTGTAGTCATAAAAACTACAAAAATCAGCAGGGTGTGGCGGCATGTGCCTATAATCCCATCTACTTGGGAGGTTGGCCAACATGGTGAAATCCCATCTCTACTAAAAACACAAAAATTAGCTGGGTGTGGTGCGAGCACCTGTAATCCCAGCTACTAGACAGGCTGAGGCAAGGGAATAGCTTGAACCTGGGAGATGGAGGTTGCAGATTGCGCCATTGCATCAAAAAAATAAAAATAAAAATAAAAAGAACAATAAAAATAAAAACAAAAATTGCTTATCAGGGTCACACAGTATCTTCTTTTGACTGCACAAAGCTGTGTTAGAGCACTTTTGTTTGTTTGTTTTTTGTTTTCTGTGAGACGAAGTTTCGCTCTTGTTGCCCAGGCTGGAGTGCAATGGCGTGATCTCAGCTCACCGCAACCTCCGTCTTCTAGGTTCAAGCGATTCTCCTGCCTCCGCCTCCCAAGTAGCTGGGATTACAGGCACGCACCACCATGCCCGGCTAATTTTGTATTTTTAATAGAGATGGGGTTTCTCTATGTTTGTTAGGCTGGTCTCCAACTCCTGACCTCAGGTGACCCACCAGCCTTGGCCTCCCAAAGTGCTGGGATTACAGGCGTGAGCCACCGTTCCCAGCTGGCTATGGCAATTTCTTAATATAAGACAACAATAAAGTTGGCCACAAGGATCCACTTTTCCTTGCATGAAAGATTTCTCCGTAGCATGTGATGCTGTTTGGTAACATATTACCTACAGCAGAAGTTCTTTCAAAATTGGAGCCAATCTTCTCAAACCCTGCTGCTGCTTTATCAACTAAGCTCATGTAATATTCTAAATCCTTTGTTGTCATTTCAACAATGATCAGAGCGTCTTCACAGGAGTAGACTCCATCTCAAGAAACCACTTTCTTTGCTCAGCCATAAGAAGCAACCCCTCAAAGAAACAAAAAAAGAAAAAACCAGCCTGGCCAACATGGGGAAACCCCGTCTCTACTAAAAATACAAAAATTGGCCAGGTGCGGTGGCTCACGCCTGTAATCCCAGCTCTTTGGGAGGCTGAGGCAGGTGGATCATGAGGACAGGAGTTCAAGACCAGCCTGGCGAAGATGGTGAACCCCCATTTCTACCTAAAATACAAAAAATTAGTCGGGCATGGTGGTGGGTGCCTGTAATCCCAGCTACTCGGGAGGCTGAGGCAGGAGAATCACTTGAATCTGAGAGGTGGACGTTGAAGTGAGCTGAGATTGTACCACTGCACTCCAGCCTGGGCAACGAGAGCGAAACTCCATGTCAAATAAAAAAACGAAACAAAACAAAAGAATAAAGGAAAAAAAAAGAATAAAAAGAAGAAGCAACTCCTCATCCATTTGAGTTTTATCCTGAGATTGCAACAATTCAGTCATATCTTCAGGCTTTATTTCTAATTCTACTTCTCTTATTATTTCTTTTTGGAGACAGAGTCTTGCTCTGATGCCCAGGCTGGAGTGCAGTAGTGAGATCTCGGCTCACTGCAACCCCTGCCTCCCAGGTTCAAGTGATTCTCCTGCCTCAGCCTCCCAAGTAGCTAGGATTACAGAGATGCGCCACCATGCCTGGCTAATTTTTATATTTTTAGTACAGACGGGGTTTTGCTATGTTGGACAGGCTGTTCTCTTGCTGTTTTGAACACACCTACAGTTACTTCCTACACTGAAGTCTTGAACCACCTCAAAGTCATCCATGAGAGTGAAATCAGCTTCTTTCAAACTCCTGTTTATGTTGATTTTTTTGCCTCCTTCTATGGATCACATTTTTTGTTTGTTTGTTTTTTGAAGCAGAGTCTTACTCTGTGGCCCAGGCTGGAGTGTAATGGCATGATCTTGGCTCACTGTAGCCTCCGCCTCCCAGGTTCAAGTGATTCTCCTGCCTCAGTTCCCCATGTAGCTGGGATTAATGGTGTGCACTACATGCCTGGCTAATTTTTGTATTTTTAGTAGAGATGGGGTTTTGCCATGTTGGCCAGGCTGGTCTTAAACTCCTGACCTCAAGTAATCCACCCACCTC